AAGCAGTTTGCTGTCTGATCCCAATGAATTGAAGCAAAGCAACGAGGATATGTTCCTCTCCTGTGACTGATTCAAAGTGATGATGCTCCTCAGATATGAATCATTCTTAGATTCACAGAATGCAAAATTCTCCGCAGATTGGTTGACAGGTTGCCCATTAAAAACCCACTGCAACATGGGAGGGTTTCCCATGATTTCACAGGAACAGTTTATCTGATTTGCAGTTTTTGTGCAACTAGAAGATGGCAGGATCTTTGGAGGAACTGTAAAAAAGTAGATCACATTGACACTTATAAACAATATAAAGTTTCTTTTAAATTGAAGAAAACATATTTAAAGTTTTGTGAAAAACATGTTAATTTTTTTGCAGTTTTTTCTTGAACATGCAAATACAATTAAAACAGTGTGGTTTTTAGGTAAATATAATTAAGATATTTGTGATTACTCCGATGTATTTTTTTGTATAACTATGTGGTTACAAAATTCATAAAAAAAAACATGACTTTGATATAGCAGATGCCTTTTGATACAGAAAGTTAAAATGTTGGTTTAAGAATAACTACAGTATCCAAAAGAATCCTATTTGTGATAAATAGCTGATCTAGGTTCTAGATGAAGAAAAAAAATTAACAATTGAAAAAAATCCTTTTATATGGGTGAATTGTTATTCAAACAATATTTCATTAATATTTTTTTATTTAAAGTATAAACGAAAGTATTCATTTTAAGTCTGTAACTTGCAAACATGAGGGCTAATTGAAAGATTATAAAATCAGGAGGGTAATTAAGACACACGCAGCTGTCAAAGGAGAAGTGATCAGTTTTGGTATCCAACATAAATCTAAACCCCAGTGCATAAGATGTTACTCAGGTAGTCTTTGTTATTAAACTTGTTCCTTTGTGCGAAAAAATAAAATCCTTGCTAAATATCTGCTCTATGTACAGTAGAAAAAAAACAATGGATAAAATAGACAAACCTTGATTATTTGCTGAAATCTGAGGGAACATTATGAAAAGCTGTTTGCTGTCTGATCCCAACGAATTGAAGCTGAAGCAAAGCAACGAGGATATGTTCCTCTCCTGTGACTGATTCAAAGTGATGATGCTCCTCAGGTATGTGCCATTCCTAGAGTCCTTGATAGTAAAAACCTTCCCAGATTGGTTGACAGGTTGCCCATTAAAAACCCACTGCAACATGGGAGGGTTTCCCATGATTTCACAGGAACAGTTGATCTGATTTGTTGTACTGCTGCAACTAGAGGATGGCAGGATCTTTGGAGGAACTGTATGAAAGTAGAAGATAATACCACCTAAAAATATTTTCCATAAAGTGTTCCCACTAAAGAACAATATGTTTAATTCAGTTTTGAAAAAAATGAACCATATGTTTAGTTATTTTTTCCATAGAGACATCCTCTTGTTTAATATTACATCTTAGTCATTCCTTCAGTGAGACATAAGCTTGAGTTTAAAGATATGTAAATGATCACAGCAGAGTAATTGCCTCCTATAAAGTATTCGTGACAAAGTTAATCAGAGATATTCAGTATTGCAATCAAAGTTCTAGACCTACAGCCCTGTCTGTAAATTAATGTTAAGGTAAACTTGACTGTTAGTGTTGCCATCTGGCTATAGTTTCAGTTATTCATAAAAATTATTTACAAATAAGATGACAGACAAACCTTGCATTTCTGTTGAAATCTGAGGGCATCTGATAAAAAGCTGTTTGCTGTCTGATCCAAATGAATTGAAGCTGAAGCAGAGCAAAGATGACATGTTTCTCTCCTGATTCATAGTGATGATGCTCCTCAGGTATGTGCCATTCCTAGAGTCCTTGATAGTAAAAACCTTCCCAGATTGGTTGACAGGTTGCCCATTAACAATCCACTGCAACATGGGAGGGTTTCCCATGATTTCACAGGAACAGTTGATCTGATTTGCAGTTTTGGTGCAACTAGAAGATGGCAGGATCTTTGGAGGAACTGTAAGAAAGTAGATCACGTTGACACTTCAAATTGTTTATGCGTTTTTTAACTTGAAGAAAACATGTTTAAAGTTGTGTGGAAAACGTTACTTTTTTGCAGTTTTTTCATGAACATGCAAATAAAATTTAAACAATGGTTGTTAGATAAATATAAATTTAGATATTTGTGATTACTCCAATGTATTCTTTTGTATAACTATGTGGATTCAAAATTCATAAAAAAAAACATGACTTTGATATAGCAGATGCCTTTTGATACAGAAAGTTAAAATGTTGGTTTAAGAATAACTACAGTATCCAAAAGAATTATATTTGTGATGAATAGCTGATCTAGGTTCTAGATAAAGAAAAACTGAATTGAAAAAATCCTTTAATATGGGTAAATTGTTATTCTGTTCCAATATTTCATTAATATTTTTTATTAAAAGTATAAACAAAAGTATTAATTTGAAGTCTGTAACTTGCAAACGTGAGGGCTAATTGAAAGATTATAAAATCAGGAGGGTAATTAAGACAAACGCATCTGTCAAAGGAGAAGTGATCAGTTTTGGTATCCAACTTAAATCTAAACCCCAGTGCATAAGATGTCACTCAGGTAGTTTTTGTTATTAAACTTGTTCCTTTGCGTGGAAAAAATTAAATCTTTGTTAAATAACTGCTTTATGTATAGTGAAAAAAACATTAATGGATAAAACAGACAAACCTTGATCATCTGCTGAAATCTGAGGGAACATTATGAAAAGCTGTTTGCTGTCTGATCCCAATGAATTGAAGCTGAAGCAAAGCAAGGAGGATATGTTCCTCTCCTGTGATTGATTAAAAGCAATGATGCTCCTCAGGTATGTGCCATTCCTAGAGTTCCTGATAGAAAAAACCTTCCCAGATTGGTTGACAGGTTGCCCATTAAAAATCCACTGCAACATGGGAGGGTTTCCCATGATTTCACAGGAACAGTTGATCTGATTAGCAGTTTTGGTGCAACTAGAAGATGGCAGGATATTTGGAGGAACTGTAAAAAAGCAGAGCAAAATACCACCAAAAAATATTGTACATAAGATAAACATGATTTTATTTAACTGTGAAAACACCTTTGAACAACATTTTTAGGTACTTGTAAAGAAACATCCTTTGTCATCACTACTGTATGTTAGAGGCATTCATTCAGTAAGACACTAACATAAGCTTTGGTGTTTTTAAAAATAAATGTAACAACTGAGTTTTGTATTCTTGACAAAAGAAGTTAATCAGACAGGATTTAGTATTGGTAAGAAAGTTCTAGATCTACTGCCCTGTCTGTAAATTGTTAAGATAGACTTGTTACAGATGCCATTCAGCTATACATTTTTTGTTAAATTATTTTTCTACTTATTCATAAAAAAGCATTTAAAGATAAAATTAGGGACAAACCTTGTTTTTCTTCTGAAATTTGAGGGGATCTGTTAAAAAGCAGTTTGCCGTCTGATCCCAATGAATTGAAGCCGAAGCAAAGCAACGATATGTTCCTCTCCTGTGACTGATTCAAAGTGATGATGCTCCTCAGATACGAGTCATTCTTAGAGTCGATTACAAAATCCTTCCCAGATTGGTTGACAGGTTGCCCGTTAAAAATCCACTGCAACATGGGAGGGTTTCCCATGATTTCACAGGAACAGTTGATTTGATTTTCAGTTTTGGTGCAACTAGAGGATGGCAGGATCTTTGGAGGAACTGTAAAAAAGTATAAAGTTTTTTTAAATTTAAGAAATTTGTTATTACTCCTATGTATTCTTTTTTGTATAGCTAAGTGTTATCAAAATTCATAAAAAAAAAAAAAAAAACACTACTTTGATATAGCCGATGCCTTTTTTTTAAATACAGTTAAAATGTTGGTTTAAGAATAACTACAGTATCCAAAAGAGTCCTATTTCTGATAAATAACTGATCTAGGTTCTAGATAAAGAAAAACTGAACAATTAAAAAAAATCTTGTTACATGGCTGAATTGTTATTCTATCACAATATTTTTTTTTATACTTTTAATAAAAAATATGAAAAAGTTAAAATAATTTTAAGTCTGTAAAATCCTTGTTAAATAACTGCTTAATGTATAGTAAAAAAAAACAACAAACAAAAAAAACAACACAATGGATAAAATAGACAAACCTTGATTATCTCCTGAAATATGAGGGAACATTATGAAAAGCTGTTTGCTGTCTGATCCCAACGAATTGAAACTGAAGCAAAGCAACGAGGATATGTTCCTCTCCTGTGATTGATTCAAAGTGATGATGCTCCTCAGGTATGTGCCATTCCTAGAGTTCCTGATAGTAAAATCCATCCCAGATTGGTTGACAGGTTTCCCGTTATAAATCCACTGCATCATGGGAGGGTTTCCCATGATTTCACAGGAACAGTTGATCTGATTTGTTGTACTGCTGCAACTGGAGGATGTCAGGATCTTTGGAGGAACTGTATGAAAGTAGAAGATAATACCACCTAAATTATTGTACATAAAGTGTTCCCACTGAAGAATAACATGTTTTAATTCAGTTTTTAAAACATCAATGATGAACCATCTTTTTATTTTTTTTATTTTCATATTTAATACTACATGTTAGTCATTCATTTAGTGAGACGCGTTAGCTGGAGTTTAAAGATATGTAAATGAACACAGCTGAGTAATTGCCTCCTATAAAGTATTCTTGACAAATTGAGTTAATCAGAGATATTCAGTATTGCAATCAAAGTCCTAGATCTACAGCCCTGTCTGTAAATTAATGTTAAGGTAAACTTGACTGTTACTGTTGCCGTTTGGCTATAAAATCTTAGTCAAATAGTTGATTTTTCAGTTATTCATAAAACATTTTTACAAATGACAGACAAACCTTGCATTTCTGTTGAAATCTGAGGGGATCTGATAAAAAGCTGTTTGCTGTCTGATCCCAATGAATTGAAGCTTAAGCAGAGCAAAGATGACATGTTTCTCTCCTGATTCATTGTGATGATGCTCCTTAGATTTGGCCCATTCTTAGACTCACTGATTGCAAAATCCTTCCCAGATTGGTTGACAGGCTGCCCATTAAATATCCACAGCAACAGGGGAGGGTTTCCCATGATTTCACAGGAACAGTTGATCTGATTTGCAGTTTCGGTGCAACTAGAAGATGGCAGGATCTTTGGAGGAACTGTAAAAAAAGTAGATCACATTAACACTTCATATTGTTTATAAGTTGTTTTTTTTTTATGGAAGAAAACATGTTTAAATTTGTATGGAAAACATGTACATTTTTTTGCAGCTTTTTCTTGAACACGCAAAATGAAATTAGGAAAATCTCTGTGATTTTTAAATAAATGTAAATATAAGTGGCTGAGACAGATATTCTGATAACTCCCATGTATTCTTTTGTATAGCTCAGTCGTTTAAAAATTCATATAAAAACATGACTTTGATATAACAGATGCTGTCAGGGTTGGGTTGAGGTTTTGAGGACCCAGATGCAGGGAGGCAGTGGTGAATTCTTGCAGTTTTAATTAATGATCACAGTTAACAGAGGCGGAAATCCAAAATCCAACTTAAAATGTAACACAAACCAGAACCATGGAGACATCAGGGGAAAACAATCCCGAGGAGCCAGGGTAAGATGAGGAAAGACAAGGAACCAGCACTGAGGAACTGCACAGGGAGAGCATTTATGGCTGAGCGAACAAAGGCAGGACTAACGAGCTGATTAGAAGCAGGTGTGAAGAGAGGAGTCTAGAAAGGAGCTAGGGAAAAGGAGACCAACACAAGAGGGCAACAGAGCAACAAATAAAAATCTAAGATCTCAAATATATCCAGAAAACACAACAAAATAGGAATTAAACCAATAAATCAAGAAAACATGGAGAAAAGTAAAACTCAAAACTCAAAAAAAAACAACCTAATAGAACCAAGACCATGACAGATGCCTTTTTTTGGCACAGAAAGTTAAAATGTTGGTGTAAGAATAGCTACTATTTCCAAAAGAATCCTATTTGTGATAAATAACTGATCTAGGTTCTAGATAAAGAAAAAAAAAAATCATTTTATATGGCTGAATTGCTTTTCTATCACAATATTTGTTTATGCTTTTAATAAAAATTATTAATGAAAATGTATTAATTTTAAGTCTGTAATTTTCATACATGAGGGCTAATTGAAAGATTATAAAATCAGGAGGGTGATAAGACAAAGGCAGCTGTCAAAGGAGAAGTGATCAGTTTTTATATCTAACTTAAATCTAAACCCCAGTGCATAAGATGTTACTCAGATAGTCTTTGCTATTAAACTTTGCGTAAAAAAATAAAATCCTTGTTAAATAACTACTTTACGTATAGTAAAAATAACCCAAAACATTAATGGATAAAATAGACAAACCTTGATTCTCTGAAATCTGAGAGAACATTATGAAAAGCTGTTTGCTGTCTGATCCCAATGAATTGAAGCTGAAGCAAAGCAACGAGGATATGTTCCTCTCCTGTGACTGATTGAAAGTGATGATGCTCCTCAGGTATGTGCCATTCCTAGAGTCCCTGATAGTAAAAGCCTTCCCAGATTGGTTGACAGGTTGCCCATTAAAAATCCACTGCAACATGGGAGGGTTTCCGATGATTTCACAGGAACAGTTGATCTGATTTGCAGTTTTGATGCAACTAGAAGATGGCAGGATCTTTGGAGGAACTGTAAAGTAAACAGAAGTAATTTTCACCTGAAAATATTTTTACATTGTTTCCAAATTAATTCAATTATGTTTAAACCAGCTCTGGGAACACATATATTGGGTTGATATTGTGATGAGATTTTTTTTGTTGGTAAATTTTGCAACATAGATCTTTGAAGAAAAATCCTAATTACTGATGCTCATTAAGGTCCATTAAGGTTTCAACAAACAATAGCAAATGTTTTTTAAAGCAGGAACCTCATGAAGAGTACTAATAATAAATCATGAATGAGAAATATTCTTTTCTGCAAGTTCATTAAATGGGACATAGAATGCAAAACCGAGTTTACAATGTCATAGATGAATGATAGTGCAAAGGAGGTGTCGGGTTGGTGTCATGTCTGTTAAGACTGACACATGCATATATATATATATATATATATATATATATATATATATATATATATATATATATATATATATATATATATATATATATATATATATATATATATATATATATATATATAAAAGCATATTAAAAACAAAGGCATAGTTTAAAATAGTTCACCAAACTTCTCCATCTCATCTTCAAAAGCAAGTCAACATAACTGAACAAAATCTGTATATTTTCAAAAAAAAGTGAACTAACTTACACAAAATCTCTGCTTTCAAACTTGTAGTGAGATTTTTATTCACATTTCCATTCTCATTTGTGTAGACAGCAGTGCATGAGATGGTCATTCTGTGATGGAAGCTGGAAGCAGTAAAGCTTAGAACAGAGGCCTTGAGCGAAGTCTTATTTGGATTCATCAGCAGTTTCTCCAGAACATTCCCTATTATGGGCGTCCATGTCAGAGTAGGGGGATGATGCAGACAGGGAGCTGCAGCAGAGCATGTCAGATTTACCCAGTCTCCCTCCTTCCCCTCAAGTATGGATGGAGTTAGAGTTGGTGTGGGAAAATGTTCTTGAAGAGAGATTTAATGATATCATTTAACAAACAAAAACATCATAAATGCAAAAATAAATTAAACAACATGTCAAAAAAAGTAGAAAACCTACCTTTGACATCAATTTTTACACTTGCATCTTTAAAAGTATATTTAAGACTATTACAATCCAGTCTAAAGTGATACACATTGCTATGATCAGGCTGGATGTTGTAGAAAGTGGTGGTGCAGTCTTTCTTTGTTAAGTTTCCTGTTACTGAATTTGTATCTGTAAGTCTTGGACTGCTGTCTTCTAAGTAAACCCACTGAGCTATGCATCCCTCTTTCAAGTCTTTTTCATATTTTCTCTGTATTTCAAAGGAGCAGGGGATGGTGACACAGGATCCTCTTAATACTTGCACCGTCTGTGGTAGAAAGACCTCGAAATTGTCACAGTTGGGACCTGTAGGACAAACCCAGTTTTAAAATAATATTCTAAGTAAATTTACTCTTATTTGTGGAAAAAGCAAGTTGTCTACCTAACTAACGTCTGCTTCATGGTCTATGTCTGTTGATGCTTTATGATAATGCAATCAATGCATTAATTTGCTTTAATATTTATGGAAGCCGTTTCTGCCACTCTGTCTCATTATAATGAGATACCATCTCATTATAATGAGATAGTACCATGAGATAGTATCTCATTATATTGAGATGGTATCTCAATATAATGAGATGGTATCTCATGGTATCTCATTATATTGAGATACCATCTCATTATAATGAGATAATTTTTTTTTCTTTTTTTACAGAGTGGCGGAAACGGGCTTCCATAAATATTTTAGGTAAAACAAATACCCAAAATATATCTTAGCTTATCTAAAACAGGATTTTCTACAAGTTACTTTCTGTTATCATCTTTATACGATTTTATGGTGAAGAAATTAATATTTTATTCAATTGTAATTTGACCTCATTAAAGATAAAACCATTAGGGCCCCATTCATACAAGAGAATTAGTAATATTGTGGGAAAATAAAAACCTTACAGAGAATATTTGCACTGGTGGAAAAAGACACATCTTGGTTTCCATCTTGTTTCGTATAAACAGCAATGCAGGAGATTTGTCCATGATTCTGACGAGAGGCGTTGAAGTTCAGAATAGAGGTCCTAACTGACGTAGTGTCATGATTCTCTTGCAGTGTTTTCTGGTTGTCAAAGAATTTGGGAGTCCAGGTCAAATTTGGCGGTTGAGACTGACAGGGAGCTGGAGCAGAGCATGTAAGACTCACTGAGTCTCCATTTTTCACTTCCAAGGTGGATGGAGTCAAAATTGGTGAAGGAAGATTATCTGGTAGGAAGGTTGAAAAATACATTTAGATGCAATACTTTTTTTATAAAGTAACTTTTGAAACACACAATTGAACAAGGAAGATGGCTGATGAAGTTTGAAAAGAAGGTACCTCTGACATCAATTTTTACCCCTGCAGTTCTAAATGTGTATTTTAGGTCATTGCATTCCAGTCTAAAGTAATAAGTATTGGTATGAGCCGGCTGCATGTTGCTGAAGGTCGTGGTGCAGTCTTTCTCTGATAGGTTTCCTGATACTGGGTTTGTATCTGTTAGCCTTGGAACAGTGTTTTCTGAATGAACCCATACAGCTCTACATCTTCCATGCAAGTCTTTTTCATATTTTTTCTTTATAGCAAAGGAGCAGGGGACGGTGACGCAGGATCCTTTCAGAACTTGTACATTCTGCGGAAGAGAAACCTCATACTTGCCACAGTTTGTACCTGAGGAATAAAACAGGTTTAGAAAAATGGAGGTGAGATTTTAAAGTTAATTTTTGCTGCCTTCCAAAGAGATTGATATTTAGTTAAAAAGATTTGGCATATGGACTGAAGTCAATTTTGTGAATTATTCTGGCATAAAGAGGGACAACATGTTATATAACATAACCTAAAATTAAGACGGCATAACATAAACAACTTTAATAAATCTATTAGCAGAGATTTAAAGAGTAACCACAACTTATAAGGAATATATTTTCAGAAATTTTAGTGTCCTTTTTCAGACTAAAGACCTGTACCTTGCTGAACCTCTCTGCAGACATAATGTTCAGACATATCCTGTATCTTGCTTGTGAAAAACCACACAGTGATGACTGTGAGTAGGACAGACTAAATGCTGTAGTGACTATGTGGAAAATGACTAGCGGCTCCTGTGGAAGATTGTGGTTTTTTTTTGTTACAGCAGGTGAAAGACATGAACAATTAAGACCAGCTATCAGGGCAGATAATGCAATTGGCCAGTCCACTTAAAAAAATAAAATAAAATGCACATACAAAACCCTGTACCCGCTTCTGAGGGGAAATGCGTATTAAATGTGTGCGAGAGCATGCAAAAGTCCATTTCTCCTTGTGCATGCTCTTTTTAAAAGTTGCTGTGTGCATTGCTTATACAAGCTTACTTTCCGAAAGAAGATTTGCAATTTTTCCACTATGTCAGACTCATCAACAATAAGTAAAAATGGGACGAGCACCTAGGACAGCCTTACGTAAACACAATACCAGAATGATTGACAATTGGAAGGACCACTTATTTTGATGATCCAGAAAAAGAACATCCTTTAAGTTGGATCAACTTGATTCAATTAATATTAGCGACCAAAGTTATTAATTTTAGAAAGAGGAGCATTTTATTTTTAAAGTAATAAAGCATAAGGATTGAGACTTTCAGTTTGTTGATGATAATAAACACAATTCTTAGGTATATAAAATTTCTGTCAGTAAATCCCTGTAACCTTTACACAATGTAGATTTAAAATATGATAATCATATTGGTTTTCACTAAACATGTAGGCGGTAGATTAGAGCATAGAAAAAATGTGAAATGAAATTCTACAGTTCTTCATATTTTGAGAATAGATTTTACTATAGGTCTTTTAGAGGTAGTAATTATTTTTAGATTTCTAAAAAAATAAACTCACACAAAATATTTGCTGTTGATGTTAAAGCTGTATCAGGGTTTCCATCTTGTCTGTTGTAGATCGAGGTGCAGGAGATTTTCTCTCCATCATGGAGGTAAGAAGCAGTGAAGTTCAGAACAGAGGTCTTAATTAGAGTTTTGTCCTGATTTTCCTGCAGAGTCTCCTGACTGCTCCCCAGTGGTGGCGTCCATGTCAGGTTTAGAGGATGAGACAGACAGGGAGCCGGAGCAGAGCATGTTAGACTCACGGAGTCTCCATCCTTCACCTCCAGGGTGGATGGAGTTAGAGTTGGTGCAGGAAAATTATCTAGAAGGAAGGTTTAATGATTTTTTTTCAGTAAACAAGAACTGTATATCTTTGTTATGTGAACCTTTAAATGCAAAGAATAATGTAAAGAACAGAAAGGATGATAGTAAGCATGAATAAAGTAGTTATAATAATTATTGTTTTATATAAAATTAATATAACCTACCTTTGACATCAATTTCTACCCCTGCAGTTTTAAACGTGTATTTTAGATTATTACAATCCAGTCTAAAGTAATAGGTGTTGGTATGAGCAGGCTGCATGTTGCTGAAGGTAGTGGTGCAGTTTTTTTCTGTTAGGTTTCCGGTGACTGGGTTTGTTTCTGTCAGTCTTGGATCAGTGTTGTCCAAGTAAACCCATAGTGCTCTGCATCCTCCATTGAGGTCTTTTTCATATTTTCTCTTTACACCAAAGGAGCAGGGGACAGTGACACAGGATCCACTTAAAACTAGTACAGTTTGTACAGCTAATGAGATCTCAAACTTGCCACAGTTTGTACCTGAGGAATAAAACAAATTTAGCAAGAAAGGAAAGTGAAATTATAAAGTGTTTTGTTTTTGCTATCGTTCCAAATACATAACTTTTTCTATAATCTAAGGATTTTAGATCATTTTTAGAAAATTACTCAAACAAAAATCATGAAGCAGTATTTTAAGTAATCTTTAATAGAAATCTGGTCCTGTAAGAGCAGAGCTTATTGGATTTCTCCATGTTTTAGTGTGTTGTGAATAACCGTAATGTAAATGCTGTTATTATACCTAAAATTCAAGGGGTACATTTTAAGATTAAGAAGTTAAATGTGCTTGCATACCTCTTTATCAAGTTGGAGTACCCCAAAGTGTTTAAAATTGCATCAAGTCACTCATCTATTTACACACACACTCACAAGCTGATTATTGGGGTCTGGACGTTTCGTCCTTTATTTAACCAGTTTCCAGCTTCTTCTCCAGAGGTCGTCCTCAAAGACTTTCCCCCCTGAGTGACAGGTTGATTGGTTTTAGCGGTTCCCCATCAAGCCGTACACTACTTAAGGAGCCGGCAGCCAGCTCTCCAGTGCCACACTGTTAGGACCCTGTCACACCTTGCCGATTTAGCTAGCATATGCCTGACGTCCCAGAATCTTCTAAAATGCTGGCATAATCTAACCTGACTCCGCCAGATGGATTTGCTCCGCATATCCATCTGGAAACCTCCGTTGAAGTAATTTTGGGAAGGGGCGAAAATACTGATTAGCTGATTGGCCTATGTTGGTGATAGACGGGCCAAATAAACCAATCAGATCAAGGAAGCATATGACGTACTAACAGAGCGACGACGAAAACACAACCACAAGCCAGGCTAACTCTTGCCGAAACCAGTTGGGAGAAGAGCAAAAACATCTTTTCCTCTGAGAAAAGCCTCCAGAGCAGTGTTTTGCTCTTCTTTCAGTGAAGAAATACTCTGTAATTCCGATAAAACTTGCTCAATAGCCACGCTAACGCTAGTTTTCTCGCATTTCTCGTTGCATCACACCTCAATCCGCCTCAAAGCTAATGCTGATTGAACGTTCGTATGGTGAACGGCTCCAAATTTTCTTTAACGGAGAGTCTCCAGACTGATCTGCGAGTGAAACCTTGAAAGGTCGCAAGATCAGGATGGTCTCACAAGGCTAGGCGTAAGCTGAACTTTCCATGATTTTTTTTTTTCAGTTTTGGGCGTATACATAGTGTATTCATAACGAGTCTAGTGCGTATGTCCAACTACAGCCTAACCTATGCATAAGGCAAGGCAGCATAATGCCAATGAAATGTCACATGCCAGTGGCCCAAGGGGGGCAGCGATGATCCCAGAGGCACCCGGCCTTCATAAAAATATGTTTGATTTCGGTATTAACCTAGCTGCTGTTTACTACCCGCCAAAAATAAAAGAATAAATAAAAAGAAAAAAGAAAAAGAAAGAAGGTTTGCAGTCGCAGCAAATTCAGTGTCCTCTCTGCTAGGAAGTTTGGTGGTCGTGGGGGTGAATGCAGGGAGCATCCATCACACTCACCTTCACGCTCACCCTATGATGCGGATGCAGTCTGGAGGAGAACTGCAGTTTCCTCCTGTGAACTCTTTTATTACCAAAACTCTGCCAATACACCATTAAACAGTAGCTGTAACTTAGAAACACATTCAGTGGTCGTCTGGAACACGTCAAATACATTGACATGCGATGGAGATAAGTTCTTGCTAAGTTACGCATAAGTTATGCGCGTGTTACTTATAGGTTTTGAATAAGCTCAATGCCACGACTTATGAGTAACTTACACTTGACCTATGTCAACGATAAAATAACTTACCCTGTAAATTATGCCCCATGTATGGCTTACGTCTGGAAATTTTCAGCATGCTTAAAACTTCTCGACGTACTTGCCGTATGTCGAGGTGTGCTAGCTTGTTTCAGGATGCAACAGTGATCTACAGCATGCTCATAACTTTAACAAAACACCTTAACTTGTCAAACGTATGCCAGCGTTTTTGCCAGATTTTCCATATGTCATTACTGGCCCTCTGGCCACCAACAGCAGGGAAGGCAGGTGAAGGTTCTTGCCCAAGTAAACAATTGAGAAGAACAGTGTGGAGCCTCAAACCGGCAATCCATGGGTTACACGACAGTTGAATTGAATCAAAGATTCATCTGAGTTCATTCGAAGAAAGAACTTGTGCAAGATTGTTTTTTCATAAAGCACTTGAGAAGCAACAAAATATCTGGGCAACATCGTTTTTAAAAGAATACAAAAAAAAACATTGCATTCAAACTTAAAAGTATTTAGATATGTTGGAAAAGTAAGGCTATTTTTGACTGCAACTTTTTGGTAATTGTTTTTACAAACAACCAGACTCGCCATAAAAACAAACACCAGTCACATTTTGGCATAATATCACAACTTCTGATTATTTCATTGACATTTTGAAATTTAACACCACCCAAGCTTTCTAATCAGACTTAAAAAGGGCACAGGGAGATGAGCAGTATTTGTCTAACAATGAAAAGAAACCCAAGTTTTTCTAAAGATGGTGCTAAAACAACAGTAGTAACACTGAATGTAGCAGAATTCCAAGAATCAAGCCTTGGGAGACCCCACATGACAGAGGAGCAAAAGGAGCTGCAATCGTTTGGGTTGGGTTGTGGAGTGGTGGCCTAGTGGTTAGTGCATTGCGCTTGGTCCCCACAGGTTCTAAGTCCAGGCCCCACTCCCACAGACTACCACTCAGGGTCCCTGAGCAAGATCCTTAACACCACACTGCTCCACGGGCGCCAAACGGTGGCAGCCCACCACTCGCGTGTTCAGGGAGTGGCCTTGGGTGGCACAGGCCACCCCTGAAATCTGATTGGCCACCCCAAGTGTCACCCCAAAATTTGAAAATATGATTGGCTATATGCCCAGTCAGAGGCGGGCCACTGCACTGAATGTAAAATGCGCTCTTGCTTTGAGTTGAAGTTCAAGAAGGCGCGAAGAAGATGTTGATGAACCTACAGGTGAATACATTCTCCAGTCTATCAGAAAGCAGCACGTCTCTGGCGCGACGTTGTGAAATATGTGAGTAGCCTACATTTTACTACACTTACTGTGCCTGTAGTTAGAAGCTGTAACGGTAATAAGCTAAACATGTACCCTGTCTTGTTTTATTTGTTTTATTTTAATTGGCACACGGCTGTCGTCTCCTCATCTCGTTAGAAAACACTGTTTTGACTGTCAACGATGCTAACGCTAACATTTAGCTATTCTGTACTGAGTAAAACTGTTATATTAGACCCCTATAACATCATTTACATTTCATTTTCATTCTTGTGTGTGCACAATTATTTATTGTACAACATAGAAGAATGTCGTGCATTATGGGACTATTACAGTATGAAAAGAAGTCAGAATATTAAAGATTTCTTCGCAAGGAAGAAATCTAAGATAGAGCCAGAGCAGGGGCAGAGCAGTCAGTCACAGGATGAGAGCCAGCCTTCAGCCTCAGCTGTACACATTGGTATGTGAAATCCTGATAGTTCAAGTTTGTTCTCATGTTTGAACTTACTAATTTGGTTTGATTGTACCATACCTCTTAGTTTACTTAGGAAAGGCTGATTGTATTATCATTCTAATCACAGCTTATGTATTATTATAGAGTCACCCTCAACATCACATACACATCAGGGCATGTATGAATTTACCTTCTTTAAAACATTATGTGCATTGATTTGAACTGAGATATTTCAAATATACTACAGTGTCATATACTGTCATTAAGTGTGTAGACAATTTTTTTAAACAATACTGGTGTGAAAAGCCTAAATGTGACAATTTGAATTATAATGAACTGATAAAATCTCTGTATTGCTACAGGTGTGTCCAGTGCTCTTCTCTTCTGTCCCACACCACTATCCACAGGGGGATAGTGGTGTGGGAGACTCTTATAGCCAGCCAGGACCTATTGGTATGCCTTAACAATTCATTTTTCATATGAAGTATAATATACTTAGGCACATTTTCATTCTAATGACAACCTATGTGTTATTGCAGAATCAGGTGAAGATTCTTGTGATGAGGGCCCTTCACCATCACACATGCAGCATAGTATGTATGCTTTACCTTTTTTTAAATTAACATCACAGTATCTGCTTTTATTTAGATCAGGATACCAATAATACTGGTGTTTAAAATCTAAATGTGGCAAGTTGAAATATATTTAAATTAATAAAATCTCTGTATTGCTACAGGTGTGTCCAGGGCTGATGTTCTTGCAGGCCATCCACAGGGGGATAGTGGTGTGGGAGCCTCTTATAGCCGGCCCGGACCTATTGGTATGTCTTAACAATTCATTTAAGTTAGTGACTTATGTGACACTAAAAGGTCCTGATTCCCATACATTTGTCACTTACAGATATTTCACAGTCAAGAGCAACAGGACCCACTCAACCCCAGTTAAAGCTGTATCCAAAAACCATGCAAGGGGAGAAGAGGAGGTCGTTCAATCCATCCTGGTACAACAGGTTTTCATGGCTTGAGTACTCAATAATGAAAGACTCAACGTACTGCTATGCATGCAGGCAGTTCTCTTTGCCTAGCACGTCAGAATCTGTGTTCACCTCAGAATCCGGCTTTTCACATTGGAAAAAAAGCAGTGTATAAAGATGCTGGCTTTAAGTTGCATGAAAAATCAGATTCTCACATTACTGCCATGTTAGCTTGGAGTGAACACAAGAGGGCTGCACTTACAGATGCTTCTGTATTAAACATGATCAACAAAGAGTACAAAAATTTAGGTTTGCTAAGTATTGAGTCAAGAAGAGCGAGGGCACTCAACATGGATGATTTTATCAAAGTGTTTGCAAACAAACACAAGAACAGGCGAATTGCACTGTTTTGACCCTCCTGTTTTCCTTAGGTCAGGGAAGGAAGAAGGGAGTAAGGGAGGAAGGAAGGAAGGAAGGAAGGAAGGAAGGTTTGGTAAAATAATTTGTTCAGAGGCATATGTATTTTAAATATGTTTGCACTTTATAGGTGGACTGTGTTTTTTTTTTTAAATTGCATTGTTTACTTATGTTGGCATGGTAAGGTAAGCTATATTTGTTTTGTACAGTCTGTACCTCTACCAAGTTTTGCATAGTTTCATCAAGCAAATATCAATATGTATATATACCAAAGTCTAGGTGTGGGTGTGTATTTTCTTGTGTGCATGTGTGCGTACATATGTGAGTGTATATGTCTGTGCGCAGGCGGTCCCGCTCATACTTCATGCCACCCCTGCATAAGTCAGTGCCCCACTGGTGCCACCCCTATCAAAAATGTCTGGACACGCCCCTGCAGCCCACTGCTTCCAAAAGGGATGGGTCAAATGCACAGGTGAATTTCTCCAGTGTGAGATTATCAAAGTTTAATAAAATTAATTTAGTCCAACTCAAAGGTTCTCTCAGCCACGGACATTCTAAATCATTTTGAGGTAGTAAATTCCTACACTGCACTATAAGTCTCATCAGAATGTCAGCATGTTTTCTGCATCTGTAACTATGAGGAACCCTACCACAATACACAATATGTTTCTGCTTGTTGAGAATGACTTGAATGTAAATGCAGTAATTGTACCTCAGGTTTAAATATCCAATATAAAGTTGTAGTGAAATATAGAATAACCTGGAGCTGAGTAGCAATTTAAAATCTAATACAATAAGGAAACATTTAGCTAATTCTGGAAGAAACAATTGAGAAATCCTCAATATGTTTGGGTGAATAATATATCATTGTTGCAGTCTGAAAACCGGCAAATATTTTTTATATTTAATAATATATATAATATTTAATCAAATCGTCATTAATAAGCCCCTTTCCAGATTTTAGAAAAGAAAAAATAAACTTACACAAAATATTTGCCTCAGTGGAAAAAGAGGCATCAGGGTTTCCATCTTGTTTCTTGTAGACCGAGGTGCAGGAGATTTTCTCTCCATCATGGAGGTAAGAAGCAGTGAAGTTCAGAACAGAGGTCTTAACTAGGGTTTTGTCCTGATTTTCCTGCAGAGTCTCCTGACTGATCCCCAGTGGTGGCGTCCATGTCAGGTTTAGAGGATGAGACAGACAGGGAGCCGGAGCAGAGCATGTTAGACTCACTGAGTCTCCATCCTTCACCTTCAGGGTGGATGGAGTCAAAGTTGGTGCAGGAAAATTATCTAGAAGGAAGGTTTAATGATTTTTTTTTCAGTAAACAAGAACTGTATATCTTTGTTATGTGAACCTTTAAATGCAAAACACAATGTAAAGAACAGAAAACAAGATAGTAAGCATGATTAAAGTAGTAATAATAATTATTGTTGTAAATAGCATTGATATAACCTACCTTTGACATCAATTTTTACCCCTGCAGTTTTAAACGTGTATTTTAGGTTATTACAATCCAGTCTAAAGTAATAGGTGTTGGTATGAGCAGGCTGCATGTTGCTGAAGGTAGTGGTGCAGTTTTTTTCTGTTAGGTTTCCGGTGACTGGGTTTGTTTCTGTCAGTCTTGGATCAGTGTTGTCCAAGTAAACCCATAGTGCTCTGCATCCTCCATTTAGGTCTTTTTCATGTTTTCTCTTTACCCCAAAGGAGCAGGGGACAGTGACACAGGATCCACTCAAAACTTGTACAGTCTGTGCTAATGAGACCTCAAACTTGCCACAGTTCGTACCTGAGGAATAAAACAGATTTAGAAAATAAGGAAGCGAAATTATAAAGGGGGTTTTTGCTGTCATTTCCAAATACATGACTTTTTCTATTATCACAGGATTTCAGATAATTACTCAATCAAAAATCATGAAGCAGTATTTTGCTGACTAGGCATCTTTCTGAGCAATCTTTTATAAAAATGTGGTCCTGTAAGAGCAGTGCTTTTTGGACTTGTCTACATTTCAGTGTGTTGTGAATAACCGTAATGTAAATACTGTTATTATACCTAAAATTCAAGGGTTGCACATTAAGATGAAAGTTAAGTGGTAAATGTCTGTGCTTGTATACCTTTTTATCAAGTCGGAGGACCCCAAAGTTTTTAAAACTGCATTAAGTCATTCATTTATTCACACAGACATTCATAAGCTGTTAAAACTAGAATTTCATCTACTGTTGCCCTGAGTTACACTGATAAAAAAAGACTGCCATAATATTGGTATCACCAGGCCCTCTTGTTACCAACAGCAGGCAAAGCAGGTGAACATTCTTGGCAAAGATAACAACAACTGAGAACAACAGTGTGGGGCCTAAAAATGGAAATCCATGGGTTACAGGACAAGTGAATTGATTCAGATTCACTTGAGTTCATTTGAACAAAAAACTATTGCTGTATTTTTTTTTTTTTTTTTTTTTCATAAAGCCCTTGAGAAGCAACAAAATATCTGGGCAACATGTTTTTTTCAGAAGAATACAATAAACAAACAAACAAAAAAAAAAAAACATTGCATTCCAACTTAATAGTATCTACATTTATTAGAAAAGTAAGGATATTTTTGACTATCTTTTTGGTAATTTCTTTAGATAACCAAAGTCACCATAGGAAGAAACACCAGTGACATTTAGGCATAAAATCACAACTTCTGTCTTGTCATTGAAATTTGAAATTTAAAACCATCCAAGCTTTGTAATCAGCATTTAAATTGTACATAGAAATTAAGATTATCTGTGTAACAATGAAAAGAAACCCAACTTTTTCTAGAGATGGAGCTTCAACAATGGCAGTAACTCTGAAAGTAGCAGAGTTCCAAGAATCAATCCTTGGGGGACCCCACACAACAGGGGAGCAAAAGGGGCTATAATCATTTTGTCCAAATCAAAGGTTCTCTCAGCCAGGGACATTCTAAATCACTCTGAGGCAGCAAACTCCTACTCGATGCTATAAGTCTCATATCAGAATATATAAGGTGCTTTCTGTATCTGTAATTACGAGGTACCCTACCACAATACACAATACCATTGTGTTTTTTTGAAAATGACTTGAATGTAAATGCAGGTATTGTACCTCAGTTTTAGATATCCCATGTAAAATTGCAGAGAAATATATAGAATAACCTGCACCTGAGTAGGAAGTTAGAATCTAATACAATAAGGAAACATTTCGAAAATTCTGAAAGAAAAATTTTGAAGTTAATTTAATGTATCACTGTCACAGTCTAAGAACAGACAAATATTTTCAAACAATAAAAAAAAAATTGGTATAAATAAGCCCCATTTCAGATTTTAGAAAACAAAAAATAAACTTACACAAAATATTTGCCTCAGTGGAAAAAGAGGCATCAGGGTTTCCATCTTGTCTGTTGTAGATCGAGGTGCAGGAGATTTTCTCTCCATCATGGAGGTAAGAAGCAGTGAAGTTCAGAACAGAGGTCTTAACTAGAGTTTTGTCCTGATTTTCCTGCAGAGTCTCCTGACTGTTCCCCAGTGTGGGCGTCCATGTCAGGTTTAGAGGATGAGACAGACAGGGAGCCGGAGCAGAGCATGTTAGACTCACGGAGTCTCCATCCTTCACCTCCATGGTGGATGGAGTCAGAGTTGGTGCAGGAAAATTATCTAGAAGGAAGGTTTAATGATTTTTTTCAGTAAAAAAGAACTGTATATCTATGTTTTGTGAACCTTTAAATGCAAAAAATAATGTAAAGAAAAGAAAGGAAGACTGTAAGCATGATTAAAGTAGTTAAAATAATTATTATTTTTTTTTATAGAATTAATATAACCTACCTTTGACATCAATTTTTACCCCTGCAGTTTTAAACGTGTATTTTAGGTTATTACAATCCAGTCTTAAGTAATAGGTGTTGGTATGAGCAGGCTGCATGTTGCTGAAGGTAGTGGTGCAGTTTTTTTCTGTTAGGTTGCCGGTGACTGGGTTTGTTTCTGTCAGTCTTGGATCAGTGTTGTCCAAGTAAACCCATAGTGCTCTGCATCCTCCATTTAGGTCTTTTTCATATTTTCTCTTTACACCAAAGGAGCAGGGGACAGTGACACAGGATCCACTCAAAACTTGTACAGTCTGTGCTAATGAGATCTCAAACTTGCCACAGTTCGTACCTGAGGAATAAAACAAATTTAGCAAGAAAGGGAAGTGAAATTATAAAGTGTTTTATTTCTGCTATCATTGCAAATACATAACTTTTTCTATAGTCTAAGGATTTTAGATCATTTTTAGATAATTATTCAAACAAAAATCATGACTCCGTATTTTAAGTAATCTTTTATAGAAATCTGGTCCAGTAAGAGTAGAGCTTATTGGATTTGTCAATGTTTTACTGTGCTGTGAATAACCGTAATGTAAATGCTGTTATTATACCTAAAATTTGTATACCTCTTTATCAAGTTGGAGTACCCTGCAGTGTTTAAAATTGCATCAAGTCACTCATCTATATACACACACACTCACAAGCTGACTGTTGGGGTCTGGGCGTTTCGTCCTTTATTTAACCAGTTTTCAGCTTCTCCTCCAGAGGTCCTCCTCCAACACTTTCTCCCCTAAGTGGCAGGTTAATTGGTTTCACCAGTTCCCCATCAAGCCGTACACTACTTAAGGAGCCTGCAGCCAGCTCTCCAGTGCCAGACTGTTCGGACCCTGTCACACCTTGCCGATTTAGCTAGCATATGCCTGACGTCCCAGAATCTTTTAAAACGCTGGCGTACACTTAACTTTCTATGAATTTTTTTAGTTTTGGGTGTATACATTGCGTATTCATAACAAATCCAGTGCGTATGTCCAACAACAGCCTAACTTATGCATAACGCAAGGCAGCATAATGCCCATGAAATGTCACAAGCCACCTTCACCTTCACGCTCACCCTATGATGCGAATGCAGTCTGGAGGAGAACTGCAAATTCATCCTGTGAACTCTTTTAATACCAAAACACTGCCAATACACCATTAAACAGTAGCTGTATCTTAGAAACGTGTTCAGCGGTCGTCTGGAACACGTCAAATACGTTACGATATGCGATGGAGATAAGTTCTTGCCACGACTTATGAGTAACTTACACTTGACCTATGTCAACGATCAAATAACTTACCCCACATATGGCATACGTCTGGAAATTTTCAGCATGCTCAAAACTTCTCGACGTACTTGCCGTATGTCGACGTGTGCCAGCTTGTTTCAGGGTGCAACAGTGAGCTACAGCATGCTCATAACTCAAACAAAACATACCCATAACTTGTCCAAAGTATGCCATCATTTCTGCCAGACTTTCCGTATGTCATTACAGGCATATATTTGTAATATTTATTAATAAATATAATATTTAATTATTATTATTGTTTTCAATAAGCCCCTTTTCAGATTTTAGAAAGTAAAAAATAAACTTACACAAAATATTTGCCTCAGTGGAAAAAGAGGCATCAGGGTTTCCATCTTGTTTCTTGTAGACCGAGGTGCAGGAGATTTTCTCTCCATCATGGAGGTAAGAAGCAGTGAAGTTCAGAACAGAGGTCTTAACTAGGGTTTTGTCCTGATTTTCCTGCAGAGTCTCCTGACTGCTCCCCAGTGTGGGCGTCCATGTCAGATTTGGAGGATTAGACAGACAAGGAGCCGGAGCAGAGCATGTTAGACTCACTGAGTCTCCATCCTTCACCTCCAGGGTGGATGGAGTCAGAGTTGGTGCAGGAAAGTTATCTAGAAGGAAGGTTTAATTATTTTTTTCAGTAAACAATAGCTGTATATCTTTGCTATGTGAACTTTTAAATGCAAATAATAATGTAAAGAACAGAAAGCAAGATAGTAAGCATGATTAAAGTAGTAATAATAATTATTGTTTTAAATAGAATTAATATAACCTACCTTTGACATCAATTTTTACCCCTGCAGTTTTGAACGTGTATTTTAGATCATTACATTCCAGTCTAAAGTAATAGGTGTTGGTATGAGCAGGCTGCATGTTGCTGAAGGTAGTGGTGCAGTTATTTTCTGTTAGATTTCCTGTCACTGCATTTGTATCCAACACCTGTGGATTACTTTCTCTTATATTAACCCATTTTGCTCCACAGTTTTCATTTAAGTTGTTTTCATATTGGCTGGGTATCTCAAATAGACAGCGGACAGTCACACAGGATCCTCTCATAACACTTACAGTTTCCAGCAAGGAGACCTGAAAGTTCTTACAAAGGACACCTGAGAGATAACACATGTATTTAAAGATTAAAAGCAGCAGTGAAATATGTTGTTTTGTTTACGTTTTCATTTTCTTATGTAAGGAATAAAAATATCACTGCCTGCCATACACTGCCATACACATACATATTAGAAAAAAAAGGTCTCATTTGTATCAGCATCAACATACCATAGATATTAGGAATCAGTTTAATTTGAATTCTTTCAAAAAAGAAAAAGAAACCTTAACAATAAAATCAAAATTTCCAGGCCACTGTCCTCAATGACTTTTCGGCAATTCAGACATTTAAATAACTATACACATTATGATGTATAAACTCACCGTATATTGAAGAGCCAATAAGAAAAAAAATCACAAGTCCAACCATCTTTCTTTGAATAATAAATGTTCAGGGCCTACAAGATAAGAACATGTTTTTAATGAAATTAAATAATGTATTTTTAAGGTTTTATCAAAGCACTTAAACAACTATGAAACAAATGGTAAATTCCAGGGGGGGTTGCTGGTAGTACAATCTTGAAATGCAGTCTTAATGCAACTTTAACAAAAACCTATAGATAGGAGAAAAATACCTACAATAAACTGTTACATTTGTTCCATGAAAAGCTTGAAATTAACATGTGAACTTTGCAACTAATTTAGTAGAAAACAAATCTACAAACATTGATCAAATGTATTTAGCAGTAATTTCATGCAAATTGGTTGTCTTTGTTACATATTAAAAAGCTTTAATTAGTTGAAAGATTTTTTTAAAGTGCAAATTAAGATATCTTACCTCTTTTTGAAAACTCACACAAATATTTTCCTGAGCAGGAATTTCTATGATAATTATATCAGTCTGTCACAGAAAGTAATGTTTCCCTTGTTTAATATTTTGCAATTCACATCTGCATTAAAATGAGGAACTAAAAAAGAAGAAACTGAAAAGCTGAGAGGTGCAAATAAGAAAACATTTCCTCAGAAACCCTACACCTTAGTAAAAGGGTCCTAGTAGAAAAAAAAAAAAAGAAAACGCTATTGATCAAATCCTTAAACACATACTATTAATTAAATATTGTTTGACAGCTAAAAAAAACAGATTCCAGGCAAACAGATCCTGTGGGTAAAAAAGTTAGAGTTGTCAACACCAAAACAACTGAAAATAATAGTTAACAATTAGTAATGGCACAATAAAAAGCCATTAACCCCCCCCCCCCCAAAAAAAAAACAAGAAAAAAATTGCAACATCGCTGCATCAGGAAGTACTGTCCCAGAATAAATTGTCATATTTTCCATGAATAGAAAGTAGACATCTGAGGAAACAGAAAGAGAGATATTGCTATTGTTTTGCAATTGTAACCTAGCACTTATAATAACAGTGATGGACTAAATCAAAAGCTTTTTCTTAAATGTAATGTAAAATATCAAGTAAAAACCCCACTTTTAACCTGATAAAATATAAGCGTAAAATATTCATATAAATAATGGATTACATTTAATTTCAGAAAGTATAGTAAATACCTAAAATAGAAGTAGAAAAAAAGTGTTCACAGTGTTGAACTTGAAGTTTTGTAATCTTTATTGGGACTAATAAGTGAAAGCCAAAACAAAAAGTTTGAAAACAATATGGCATAAATATGGCAAATATGTGTTTTTAGAATTAAGGAAAATAGTTTTATTACTTGTACTGTAATATTGTAAACTTAGTCAAGGTGGGTAGATAAAGTCTTTAGTCTTGTACACTTATTTTAAGACAACAGTCTATATCATTTCAGAAAAAGGCATCAAAATAGAAAAAAGTTAATATTTGGATAAAATATATGCTCAAACTAAACAGGAAAATTTTAAAAATAAGAATTTTAAAGCCTGTTTAAAAACTTTACATAAGTTGAATATAGGGTAAGATAACGCAATAAAAATAAAAACATATGGGTAGGTGTCTTAATTTGTAAATCTAAGTCAATAAAGGTGAATACATTTAATATTTATTCCATGTTGCCAACTCATACATTATATGTAAGCTCAAATGCTTCATCAGTGACAATACAAGTTTGGTCAAAATACAGGTGCTGGTCATAAAATTAGAATATCATGAAAAAGTAGATTGATTTCAGTAATTCCATTTAAAAAGTGAAACTTGTATATTATATTCATACATTACATACAAACTCATATATTTCAGATGTTTATTTTGTTTAATTTTGATGATTACAAATGACAACAAATGAAAATCTCAAATTCATCATATCAGAAAATTAGAATATAGTGAAAAGGTTCAAAATTGATGGCCCCTGGTGCCACACTCTAATCAGCTAATTAACTCAAACCACCTGCAAAAGCCTTTAAATGGTCTTTCAGTCTAGTTCTATAGGCTACACAATCATGGGGAAGACTGCTGACTTGACAGTTGTCCAAAAGACGACCATCGACACCTTGCACAAGGAGGGCAAGACACAAAAGGTCATCGCTAAAGAGGCTGGCTGTTCACAGAGCTCAGTGTCCAAGCACATTAATAGAGAGGCGAAGGGAAGGAAAAGATGTGGTCGAAAAAAGTGTACAAGCAAGAGAGATAACCGCACCCTGGAGAGGATTGTGAAACAAAACCCATTCAAAAATGTGGGGGAGATTCACAAAGAGTGGACTGCAGCTGGAGTGAGTGCTTCAAGAACCACCACACACAGACGTATGAAAGACATGGGTTTCTGCTGTCGCATTCCTTGTGTCAAGCCACTCTTGAACCACAGACAGCGTCAGAAGCGTCTTGCCTGGGCTAAAGAGAAACAGGACTGGACTGCTGGTGAGTGGTCCAAAGTCATGTTCTCTGATGAAAGTAAATTTTGCATTTCCTTTGGAAATCAAGGTCCCAGAGTCTGGAGGAAAAGAAGAGAGGCACTTCATCCACGTTGCTTGAAGTCCAGTGTAAAGTTTCCACAGTCAGTGATGGTTTGGGGTGCCATTTCATCTGCTGGTGTTGGTCCATTGTGTTTTCTGAGGTCCAGGGTCAACGCAGCCACATACCAGGAAGTTTTAGAGCACTTCATGCTTCCTGCAGCTGACCAACTTTTTGGAGATGCAGATTTCATTTTCCAACATGACTTGGCACCTGCACACAGTGCCAAAGCTACCAGTACCTGGTTGAAGGACCATGGTATCCCTGTTCTTAATTGGCCAGCAAACTCTCCTGACCTTAACCCCATAGAAAATCTATGGGGTATTGTGAAGAAGAAGATGCAATACACCAGACCCAACAATTCAGAAGAGCTAAAAGCCACTATTAGAGCAACCTGGGCTATCATAACACCTGAGCAGTGCCACAGACTGATCGACTCCATGCCACGCCGCATTGCTGCAGTAATACAGGCCAAAGGAGGCCCAACTAAATACTGAGTGCTGTACATGCTCATACTTTTCATGTTCATACTTTTCAGTTGGCCAACATTTCTATAAATCCTTTGTTTTTATTGGTCTTCAGTAATATTCTAATTTTCTGATATGATGAATTTGAGATTTTCATTTGTTGTCATTTGTAATCATCAAAATTAAACAAAATAAACATCTGAAATATATGAGTTTGTATGTAATGTATGAATATAATATACAAGTTTCACTTTTTAAATGGAATTACTGAAATCAATCTACTTTTTCATGATATTCTAATTTTATGACCAGCACCTGTAGCTAACTTTAATTATTTTTTTCTTTTGTCTTGAACTCATATGCAAGTTTTGAAATCATACAACCATTAAGGTTGAAGTAAAAAGTCTTCTTAAATAGTTGTCAGTCTTTTTTATGAAAGGTAGGTAATCTTTCACTGGATAGCAGTGGCGGCTGCTTCAAAATAGACGTATACCAAAGACCAATCAAATGTATCCAAAGTTATCACACTATTATATTTATATGAATGCCAACAACATAAAACATTATGAAAACACTTTAAAAAAAAAACCCAACATAATTTCATGAACAAGTTTTCTTTGTATTTTGAATGGTCCAATATGGTGTCACAACCCTAAAAAAAACAATGTACCAGTTTAATAATGGAGAAGCTATTAGTCAGCTTTATATTTTTTGTAATTTTTTTAATACGGTATATATACAAAAAAATAATAATATTATATATATATATACATATAATTTTTTTTTCTTTCTGTCTATCTCAGGGTCATTGGGTGTGGGCCGGCGCCCTAGCGCCCTCTATTGGCCAGCCACCTCTGCTGGATAGTTTGTTATGTTTGTTGAAGATACTGTTATTGAGAAAGGCACATGCATGGTTTACCAGATGATTTATCCACACATTCATTTTTGGTTGTGAGATGGTTTATTAAATGTTTATTCAAGCTATGACATTATCAATCTTTCTGATCTTCAATTTGAAGTGAAAAAAATATCTCATAGAAGGCCACTTCAGATTAGTCCAATTTTTTACTCTTAGCAATTTTTTTTATGTTTTTAGCTGTGTGATTTGAGTCATTAACCTTTTGTAAAATCCATGACCGAGGACCCAAGACCACACTTTCTGACACTAGGCTGAAAATCTCTCTAGAATCTCTTGATAGTCTTGATATTTTATTGCATCCAGCTGAGATTCACCTGTACAAAAATAAGCAAATTGAGTCCAGAACATAACAGAGACATTTTTCATGTTTTACAATATGTATTTACTTGATATGCTTAACGTTTCTATCTATGAACATAGAGCTAATATGCCTTAGCAAAAAGTAAAATTTTTGTCTCATCATTTTTGTCCTCCCACAAGCTTTGTGCCTTGTCAACATGTAGTTTGGCAA